AAGCTGGTCTGAAGGTCAGGGTCAGGGTCAGGATCACGTCCATTGATGGCCGGGCAGGGTCACTGGGCTGAGGCTGAGTCGGGTGGTCACCCACGAGTTGGGGCTGGGGTTGACAGGGTCATAGTGGGGCTACAGCGTGGTAGTGCAGGGGCTGAAGAACCCGGGGAGGGCTGAGATGGGGCCAGGCCTGGGCAGGGTGGGAGAGGCCCAGTCCCAGTCCAGTCCATATTTATCTTCCTTTTCAGATGAGAGTCTGAATGTTCAAATGGAAACATTTTTTTTTTTCCTTTTCTTAGGCGCTGAAGCTTGGCTTTGATAGCAGCAGCATAGTATCACCACTGTTAAGCAGAAATATGCTTGCTTGCCTGTGAAACTTTGCAGGTCAGTACTGGTTTTGTGTCACTGTGCGTGGCATGTGATACAGGAATTGCAAAGCTATGAAAGAGAACATTGTTAAGGCAGGACATTAAGGACTCCTAAGTTAGGAGAGAGAGAACAGATACTGCTCTGTAAACGTACCTCAGTCTCCTCGTGCCTGGGATCCCCCTTCTCCTGTCCCATGCTGTGGTTGCCTACTGCACAGCCTCCTGCAGGCGGTGGTGCTCCTTCCTGAGCAGTCATTTGATATTCTTGTTTTATCCTCATCGTTTGACAAGTGGTCTGGGTTTAGCTACTGCACAGCACTCAAACTACTCTTCAGCCAGGACTGTTATCTTCTTCATGAGCTTGTCTTTTGTGCTTATCACTATAGCTCTGAGTTATGCACCTGCATTAATTTTCACAAAACCCCTCTGAGGAAAGATGTGGAGTTATTCCTGTCCCACAGCTGAAGAACTCAGGTACAGGGAGCTGAAGATGAAAACGTGACATCTCACACCGCCTTTCCTGGGACTCTTGACACTTCCGTCTCCTTGGCATGGTTAAAACATTTCCTAGCTTGAAGCTCCTTTTCCTGTTGACTTTGGTTACAGTGAAGTGCTTGCTGTGCCTGCAGATCCATCTGTGGGGCCCCTGGTGAAGTGGCTATGAGGTTAAGAGCTCACAGCCAGTGATCTGCCCCGGGTGTGAGTCACTCCACTTTGCCCAGCATCAAATTTGTAGCAGTGGCAGACATAGGAACCCCTGTTTCCTGAGGTGGGCTGGAGCTTGTGGAGACCACTCGCCCTTCTCCTGCCCTGCAAAACCCTGCCTGTTTCGCTGCGCATCTCCCTGCATCTGTCATACAGAGCTAGAAGTGGGTAGGCTTCAGTATTCTTCACTTGGGAAGCCCGCTTTGCTTCCAGAGTGGGCACT